GTTAGTATCAGGTTTCAAATTGTTTTTGGCAACAATTTTCTGCTGCTTCCAAGATTTCTTCCAATTACAAGTTTTTTCCCTTAAAAAATTCCTTAGTTTTATTCCATGTCCTCAGTAAAAATAAATAAAAATAAATCAACTTTATTTATACACGGTTTATTTATACACAGGCAGTACTAGCCTACGTGCAGACGTCTCCTATTTCCTTGCTTCACGTGAAGGTGAAGTTAAGTTATGACTTCCTAGAACGTATCAGGGGCACCCAACGACAAAATTTTCTTGTTGGTGTCGGAACGTTGTTTTTACGTTATAATTGTGCTTTTTGTGCAGTTACACAGTTTAATGGCTTATTTTTAATCGCTAAGAAAAATGTTTCTTTTCGGATACGTTAGCTGAACTTTCAAACATCAGAACATTTTAGGGATTGAACTCTTATTACCTGTACCCAAAACGACATTTTTATCTCTCCGAAAACAAAAGGCATTAATTTCCCCATATTACGAAAGTTTGAGATGACATTTCCCTAGCCGAATATTTGAGGCGATTATAGGCCTTCCGAACAGATATTCCACCGAAACGATCCGTTGGGTGCCCCTGACGTATACTTGTTGTTTGATTTGGCTATCGATATCCCAAGGTATGATGTAATCATATACATGTACAGTCACAAAGCGGAAAGTGAGGTGGACACCACATGGTTGGCTTGTCCCGGACGAACTTCACTTTTTGTCTCTCTTCAAAGCAAACGCCTCTAAGGTGGAACGGCATGCAAGCAACGCAACTCACGGAGGAAACCTTCGGGACCAGCTCTCGCTGTCCGTCTTCTTATAGAGGCTGCATCTGACTTAGCCTGTGTTCTAGGTGTCCTCTTCGCGTCGCTCCCCTCTATCCGAACGCCTGGAACAGGCTATATCTGACTCTATAAGGCGGACACCTGGAACTTGAATTAAATCCGAACTCAGAAAGAAGTTCTTTATTTATAGCACATGAAGTATTATTTAAAAACACTTACAGTTCCTTTTTGTCAGATTTTAATCCAATAAACAGTGCCTGTTCCTGTAATCAGATGATGCGGTCGATATTAGAGTACTTCGGTAAGTCAATACTGTATGTGATCGACATCCGGCCTATCCGCCAATTGTGCACAAATTGCCGCATACATTTGCATTTCTAGTGTCCACCTTGAACCTGACCTTGAACGAATTTTAAATGTGAATTTTGCCGGCTTGAAAGTATGCACTGCTTGTCTTATTTGAGTTGCTCTGCTTACTTTAGCCTGTTCACAGACGTTTTATTGTTTCGCGCGGCGACCGCTGTTCAACTGAGCCCAGCAGCGCTGTCTTTAATTCCACTAATCAATTCTAAATAAAACACTGTGGTTCTAACCCGAGTGCTCTGTTTATCTATTCACTCGACATCACTGAATTTAAACAATAGATTAAACAAGAACTGGTAAATAATTGGTCTCTTTTTACATATATAAACGTTTCATTTTATATCATTGGCGACAAGCACTCAAGCGGTCTATAGATCTTCTTTTCTAAGTCCCGACAGTAGTGACAGTGCTAGTGCATTTTAATGTTTAAAATGCTTTTCTAATGTTTTGCAATAAATCCGAACGGAAGATGTTCGATTGTAATTGTATACTGGCAACCGCAAATTCACCCACGTCATTGCGTGAGTAAGGCGTATTAACCACCAACTTTGACGTTAATACCTCGTCGGGTCACGATTATTACGCCTCGGTTGCATGCACACATTGTCAAATATATGCCTATTAACTCGCCATTACATATACAGAGTCCAAGATAACGAAGAAATTATTCATCTTAACGAATCTTTCTCTCGGATGAAGGTATGCTTGAACTGATCTATTTAGCGTAGAATTCTACGAATATGTGGTCAACTAAGAGACTTAGTATATTCTCCTCAACAAGGGACAACACGCGATAAGTATTCTGAATATTCGACCATTATGCCCTAGACACGATGTTATTTACTTGTTGAGCTTTAATTGTTTTCTTTCACATTTTCGTGTTCGCTAAAATATTAGCATTAGTTTATGGTTCTATTATTTCATTTGATTCGCTAAAACTGACTGTTCTATGTTAATAATAATAAGATAACTCGATTGGAAACTGACACTCAGTGGCAGTCGTGTTTCATATGGGCTTTCGACATGCTCTATTTACTACGTTGACGTGTCTTCGCTTTCGATCGAACTCACTGCTAAGTCACTGCTGCTAAAGTCTTACTCCTTTTATCGACCGCGTGGCTTCACTGTTCTGTTTCAGATAAGAATATGGCTCGTTATATGGAAAATACTGGTAGCTGTTGAACAGGTAAGATTAAAAACATCAGTTCAAAGTCGCCTGATTAGCTGACTGCAAGCGTGCTTACCAATATCTAGTTACTCTATTTAGACGAGCAAGCCGGCGTGCGCAAGGGTTATCACCTGGGTCTTTTATGCCTAAGAAGGCTGGTTTTCACTAGCACATAAGCATAAACACAAGCATAAGCATAAGCTAGCGAGGACAGCAGCGACATAAACATTAACATAAGCACAGTCAAGCATAAGAAGAACGAACACACTTGTTCTTGTTCTAGGAATCACCACGGCATAAGCATAAGCATAAGAAAACAAAATTGTTCGTTCTTCTTGTGCTAATATGCTTATACCGCGGTGATTCCTAACTGAGGACAACATAAGACGAACAAGTGCGTTCGTTCTTCTTATGCACTTATGTCGCTGCTGTCCTCACTAGCATATGCTTATGCTAATATCGCTAGTGAAAACCAGCCTGTAATTTATAGTCATTTTAAGAATCTGGCATTTATTCTAAAATGACCTTCCGAAGCCAACGGAATTAAAAAGCAAAATAAATCTGCAAAACTGAAGAAACGTTTCTTGGGGTTGTTGCCGCCGTGTTGCTCCGATAGCATGAATTAATTCGCAATATAAGGAAATTAGACGCCTCGTATAGCCTAGATTGTCACTTGAACATATGACTAATTACTTTTTTTAGTTCGAATTTATTTACTAGCCATCAACATTACGTGCTAGAAATATAAATTCATTTTAGCTTCGCGCGAGACAATAATTTTCCCGTTTTCATGCTATGCATGTTGATGCGTAAAGCAGGAAACCCACGATTTCCGTCCGTTTCAAGATTTCCTTGTTCTTAATTCTCGATTTTTCTTATCGTTTTACTAAGTTCCACCCTTCTTTTGTCGAATTTTAATATATTATTTTGTTCATGTTAGAAATACGCTTTTATGTGATAATGATGACGCAATAAATTCGTGTTAACTTTGTGATCTGAATGCCGCCGGCCATAAATGATGATCGTGCATCAGACCACTTTTGACGGCCCGATATAATTTTACCCGCGGCATTCAGTTCCGACCCTGAGTCAGTGTTTTTCATTGTCGGTTGAGTTTTCAACGTCATTAATTTTAAAAGCTTCTTTTCGCCAAAACTTTCGATGCAATGATTCAATGGCAAAACGAATTACATTGTACCTTTACTAAAGTTATAAGACCCGGCCCTTATTAGCTGCAAATCTAATAATCAATATATAGGATTAGACTTCGCGCGGGCGAAGTAGTGGGCGCGAATTATTTTTTGAGGCACGCCGACCAGAGTGGACCGTACCTTCTCGACTGAGCTAGATTAGACTGAATACATCGATTTTACCGAAAATGCATGCCGGATCAGACACGGCCCTCTTTATTAGTCCTGCTGTAGTGAAGTGTCACCACTCTTCTACGGAAAAAGCTTTTATTAACCCTTTCACACCCACTGAGTGCAAGTTCAAAACTGAAGAAAAAATATCGAATATCATTTTACAAAATTGTCAAAAACAAACAGCACCATATGAAAGTACTACTCAATAGCTTTTATTAGAATGGTCACACACTAAGGGTTTCATCCACAGACTCAAAAGTTACAACCACATTTATTGACTCTGGGAGTGAAGAGGATAACTATGAAAGATATTTGTGTTGAGTTAATAAGGCAACCCTCTATCTTTAACTGAAGCTTACTTTTGCACTAGAAGTACACTTTATGCTCGTATCAAAGTATTTTTTTGCGATATTTCTCAAGGCTAGAATAAGCCGCCCCGGCAGCAAATGTTAGACCGACTAGGTAAAATGGTACCGGTAGTATTTGGAATAACCGAGTTCAATATATACTGTTTGTCTTATCATTCAACCACTGAGCTTGTTTTTCACAATTTTTTTCTAGCCGATAACAGCTTTAAGTTGCAGTGGGATGTGTTGGCTGCCGTTGTTTAGTCTTAACGTTCACAAAAGTGGGCAGTACTTTGCACGAGTAGACGCTGTAATGCGCGTAACCGCTGCGCGGCCATTTTTTCCCTCTTACATTGTTTTGCTTCACGCTCGATGAACTGAGAGAAAGAGGTACTGCTCGTAGTCAAAGTTAAATGCGTATGAATAACATTATCTGAAAGCACGTAGTGGTTTCTAATTCAACCAAAAGAAAGGAAAAAATAAAAATAACCACCGCTATAACAATTTCATTCGACCATGCGAAAGCTTTTACCAAAACACCAGTAGAAATAATTTTTATATTTTTACTGAAATGGGTGAACCATTTAACCGAGAAATATGCCCCTCGGGCTAAAATGTTTTGCGCAAAGTGCATATCGATTTTAAACACTTCATTCGCCGCCAGTAACTGATCCTCGCCGCAGCTGTCTTCACCTGTCTAGACTGGTAGAATTCTTTATGCGCTTTGTTCTGGTTGGCCCTTTAGGTAAATTCATCATATACAATCTCAATATACAATTTCAATCATTTGTAAATACGGCCGGCTGGACATTTTGTCGTCTTCAGTGTGACAGCATTATCAAGTTCATATTGTTGTAAATAAAGTACATAAATAAAAGTTCAAGCGCGGTGTGCTTTTTGTGCGGCTTGCACAAACGGTTTGCAACTGCTTGATCGCAAACTCACAATATGACCAGCTCCCAGTTGGCTTGATTGCGCAGTTGGTAGAGCACTGCACCGGTATCGCAGAGGTCATGGGTTCGAACCTCGTTCAAGCCTGAATTTTTTTCAGGCTTTCTTTTCTTAACTGCTTAAGTTGTGTACACATAACTGCGATGGTCATACATGTATTATATATTGATCGCAAACTGTTTCCCAAGAACAGAAGAGACCGTCCATCTCCAGGTGCAGCCGAGATCAGCATCTTTCATTTGAATGGGCAGACTTTAGGATTTCTTCAGCAGAATAAAAAAATTCATTCATCAATATTTCAGCTTTTCTAGGCCGCACGAAAAGTAGTAGTGCCGGATATAAACCAAACGGTGCCTGAAGCAGGCGAATTTTAAGCCTTATCCACGGACGTCAGGGATAGATAGAAGCTGATCTGAAATTCGCCCGGAAAACGGAATTATTAAAAGCCTTATCAAGCAATAAATTTGTACTACAGTAAAATTTTCACAACTTTTTTTTCACAGACCACTGTGACCAGTAAGCGACACAAGTAGGCCTTGTGGACCCATTTTTCTGCATACACTAATTAACTGAATCGGCAAAACCTTATTACATGAAATTTTCGCGTTTTTCACGATATTTTTTAAATCGCGAAAATATGATATACCTTATTGTAACTTATTTCCGTATGGTTATGCATGGCTATTTATGGCTGTAAGTGGACAAAGTGATTAGTTTCTAATGAAACTGTGGCGCTGCGTCGGCGGAAAGTAAAACACTATGTTGATTATCAACTCGAAGTTGATAAAGGTAAATTAACCGCCGTAGCGAATTTCTAGAAGCTGACGTTTCGAGCGTTAGCCCCTTCGTTAGCCCTTTGCTCCGACGAAGGGCTAACGCTCGAAACGTCAGCTTCTAGAAATTCGCTACGGCGGTTAATTTACCTTTATCAACTTCGAGTTGATAATCCACATAGTGTTTATGGCTGTGTATGGCTATGTAGGGCTTGGCTATGTAGGCCTATCATGTCATGATTATGTATGTAGGGCTACGTAGGGCTACTAGATTTATTATGCCTTGCATGGATATAACAAGCCACTATATGATTGTTACACGACGTATCTTAATCCATGCCCCGTTTCTTGCTGCTGACCAAGAGGAACGCGGCGTCTGGAGTACCTGTTTTTTTCCATCTAGCGGCCTGAATTTTTATTAGCAAGCCAATATGTTGACCACCAGTAAAGAGTCTATACATCAACTTGTGCAAATTGTCACTTAAAAAACTGATCAAATTTGACAGTTTGAAAGTATGTCTTGTGGTTTTAGTCGTAAATGTGTACACAAAACATGTCGGCACGTTGTTTGTATATGTGACAGGTAGCACGTGCGTGTCCTGTACTGTGTGACGTCAGATCTTGTATTTTAATTGTAAATTTTGTTTTGGTAAATGTTCTTTCAGTGCCTGAGTTCTTCAAAGGATCTCTCGAGACTTCAAAATATCTTCGATATATCTTCGGAAATACTCGAAATATCTTGTATACAAGACTGAATTTGCGGAGGATTTTACAGTGAACTTTTGGAAATCGTTAAAGGTGCTTTATATTGTTTTCTGATTTCGTCTATGCAGTACTAATTTTTTCGAACTGGACATCTTCGCAGACGGAAGAACATTGACCAAAGTTAATGTGAGACAATTAATCTCCACCAGAAAATATTCAACGAAGGCAAACAACGTGTCATGATGACAACTCCACAACATCTACTTCTACTCCCGCTTCTTCTCCTCGCATTTACAACTATGACATCTGGTAAAGAATTCACTTTGGGACTGCTTATTCCATTAAATTCCCGTTCGTCGCCAACTAGCTCTGTGGGAAAGTATTATGCACCCGCCATCGTTCAAGCCATTGACGACATCAACAACAGGACGGATCTTCTTAACGGGCACCAACTGTCTTTCATCTGGAATGATACTTCGTGCAATGAAGATCAGTCGCTGCGAGCATTGTCTTACCAGATACACAAGAGACACGTGTCCGCTATTATAGGGCCCGGATGTTCGTGTCAGACAGAGGCTCGGCTGGCCAGCGCCTTGGACATTCCTATGATTTCATACGTGAGTTTCTGAATTAGAGAGATTAGAGCGGTTTTCAATTGAGTGTCGAAAGTAATCACTGAATTGCTTTAATTGGTTTTGCTTTACTACGCTCTGTGATTGGTTTAAAAACTGACTCGCGCCACCTTCTCAACCAATCAGATGCAAACCAAAACCAATCGCTACTTGGTCACCCGCGTTTTCCCGCGCTTGTCGTCGGTTACATGTATTTACTTCGAGCTCTCATTGGTTCGTTGCGCTGCTTACGTTTGTTGTGATTGACCAATGCAATTGCTTTAATTTGGTTTTGGTTTTACGACATTCAATTGAAAACTGCTCTAAGTATTACGTTTGTTTTTCCCGCAAACGGCAAAAATCCCACTTTTGCCGTTTGCCGTTTCTACGTCAAAGGGGGTAGTTTCGCGTTTATCGTGAATGTTGGCTCGCGAAAGCAAAATTCGTAAGCGGCGAAGCTGCAAGCAGACGTATGCCGTTTGCCGTTGAACGTGGTGGTTAATCTCTCTAATGATTTATTACATCAATAGAGGATGATCTAAGAGAAGGATTCCCCATGCCCCATGATGATTTGTTGAAATCTAACAATAGTTTCGCGCCATTCTGTGAAAGTTATTTTTATTTTTTTCTGATTGAGGCTCAGACATCACGTTACTTGAACTGACCAATCAGGTAGCGCTCTTAAAATAGCTCAGCTTTGGACAGAAAATTAGAAATAGATTTAAAAAAGATACTCCATGTATGGGGGAATGCTCTTAGATCATCCTTTCCTGATTACATATATAAATATAAAAGCCACTGAGACCTGATTTTAAACAGTTCGTATATTAAGCTTTCGTCTTATCTAAACAAGTAGACTGTGAACAGTCCCTCTATTTTAATGGTAGGAGTTGGACTCTGGTTGGAGGGCTCGAGTGCTGGCTGGTCTGGGGTCATTGTGTTGTGTTCTTGGGCGAGATACTTTACTCTCACAGAGGCTCTCTCCCCCAGGAATATAAATGGGTACCGGATCGATACATTAGGTCACCGTATCTTGATATCCATACCGTAAAATAGTTAACGTAATCATATCGTGTCTAACGTTCTGTCTTTACGAACAGATGTGCAATGATGCGATGACGGGCCTTAGAAAGGATCTGTACGCAACATTTGCACGGACCATCATTCAAGTGGAGGTGCAGAAGTTGGTCGGAGGGATCATTAAGTTGCTGCGCAAGTTTAACTGGACAGAGGTAGCCATCTTGTACGAAAATCGCACCAACTACATTAGAATGAAGGACGCAGTTGTTGAAGAGTTTCATAAGAACGGTATTACAGTTCTCCTACAGAAAGAGCTTCTTGATGAGAAATGCTACATACGTGTTTTGTATAACGAAATGTACAACATCACGTGTGAACACAGTCGTGTTAAGAATGTGACATCATACATGCAAGGAATGTTTGCAGAGCTCAGAGAAAAAGCCAGAAGTAAGCTTGATCTTGTTTTTGTTATGTACAAATTAATGTTTTGAACATATTTGCTACTTAGAGTAAGCTTTGACGGTATGTACTCAGGATTCATTTTGCGCGCAAGTTGGAAAATGATAGTCGATGAGAGTTGAAGAAAACGCTCGTCGAACGTTCATTCTTCGAGTGTCTTTGTCATTTGACGATCGTTGCGATCGTTGCGATTATATGGAAACCAGGCTTATAAGCAACCACGACGGCGACGCCATGGAAAACGTCACTTAAAAAGTGAATTCACGTTCCTATAAGCTATTTCGCGATTATTTCAACACGTTCAATTTGTCCAATGTGGCCGAACTGTCCAGGAGCTGAATTCGTAGAGACAGAGTTCAAGTCCAGATAGAGAAAGGAAAATTCACCGTCTTGTGTTCACGTTCTCCATAATACTTTGAATTTGGTCATTTCACGTTGTTGTTTTGCAGAGGACGGCTAAGAAATGTACAAAGAATTAAAACGCACGTGCGGAGCTATTGCACTACTAATTTAAAAACCTATTGTTTTACGAGAACGTCCGGCACAAAACAATAGGTTTAATTAGTAGACAGTACAATTGCTTTTCACGAGTGTTTTACTTTTGTGTACATTTCTTTGCCGTCCTCTGTAAAACAACAACGTCAAAACGTGAACACACGACGGTAAATTTTCTTTTGTCTATCTGGACTTGAACTCCGTCCCTACGAATTCAGCTCCTGGATAGTTCGGCCACATTCGACAAATTGAACGTGTTGGAATAATCGCGAAATAGTTTATAGGAAGGTGAATTAAGTGCGTTTTCCATATAATCGCAACGATCGCAGCCGGCGATCGCAGATCAATCAATCAATCAATCACTTTATTTAAACACGATAAATCAATCAGCAGAGCTGGTGGGGTCGTGCAAAAAAGATAAAAGTGTTTTGCAATCCTTGCGATCATATGGAAACCATAAAACGTTGCGATCCTTGCGCAGAGATAGAAACATTTCTATCTGTGATCCTTTCGATCTTATGGAAACCAGGCTTTAGGGACTGTGCAATAAATACCAGGAGGGGGGGGGGGGGGTTGGAAAACCAGAGGGGGGGGGGGCATAAAGTAAAATCAAAGCAAGGATAGGGGGGCTCAAGGTAAAATAAGCCACTCAAGAGAGGGGGGGTTTAACATTTTATTTCAAGTACATATTACATTGGTGAATCCATACCTATTTATAAGGTGGGGACCGAAAAATTTTAACACACATGCTCTTTTCCTTCTGTTATGGCTCTGTTGAACATTGCTACGGAGGTGATGTTACTCGGTATAAAGGTGTGTGTATACTGTGGGGGGGGGGGGGGGGGGGGGTCGTACATAATTTCTGACTGATTAGAGGGGGGGCAAATAACTAAATTCACTCCTTTAGGAGGGGGTATTGCCTAATATTTTCCTACATGAAGCCCATTTTCCAACCCTCCCCCTCCTGATAATTATTGCACAGTCCCTTAGGTCCCTATATGCACCACGAACAATAGTTTGAAGT